CCTGTATAAAAAAATTGATGTGAAAAAATCTCAAGCAAAAAAAAAAATTGACGTGTTCGAGCATTTTTTCGAAAAGTTCCCCATTTTTTTATTATCGAATTTATTCCATTTGGCTGATACACACTGTATATATCCAGATGGTAAGGATGAACTTTTGTTACGAAGTCCAAACAAAGGATAACGCACACCTAACATGGGATTTTTGGGCTCTATGGATTCTGCCAAGTTTTTGATATGTTGTAGAGAATTTAATTCTGAACAACCTTTAAATGGGACGAAATCTTATAGGTATTACGGTCTTCGAGATATGAGCGTTGAGAGATGAACTTTTTTGCGACTTTTTGTGTGGAGAGTATACGAGATACTGGTGCTACTGGTGTTTATCAGTCAAAATATTGACAGGTTCACATATTTTACGTCACTTAAAAATTAATGTCAACTTAGGTTAAGGCCGGGACCGCACTGAGGTCAATGTTGGCGCCAGTGCGGTCCCGGCCTTAGCCTATGTTGACATTTGTTAGTGACGTGAAATATGTCGATTTGTCAAAATTTTGACTGATAAACACCAGTTTTTCGTATACTCTCCACACAAAAACTTGCAAAAAAGTTCATCTTTCAAAGCTCATATCTCAAAGATCGTAATACCAACAAGATTTCGTCTCATTTGAAGGTTGTTCAGAATGAAATCCTCTACAACATTTCAAAAAATGGGCAAAATCCATAGAGCTCAAAAATCCCATGTTAGGTGTGCGTTATCCTTTAGAGTGGAAACATTTAATGTCAGTCTGGACAAACTTTCCCAAGAATTGAGTAAACGTTCCGAAGCGTATGAATATGTTAGTAATATCTTTGGGTTTTTAACAAAAATACCGAATATTTCGGAGCAGGAACTTAAGGCAAGTTCTTCAAGAATAATAGAAATACATAAAAGTGACATGTCCGACAACTTTACAGCTGAATTGATGCAGTTTTGGGCTTATATTCGGGACTTGAAAGATGATGGCTTGAACGTTCATTCTTTTTTGAGGCAAATGGAAGAAAAAGACCTTCTCCAGGTTTTTCCAAACGTTAACATTAATTTGAGAATATATTTATTCATACCTATCACAAATTGCGAGGGTGAACGGTCTTTTAGTACTCTAGCTTATATTAGAAACAAATATCGTTCTGCAATTGGGGATAATAGATAATCGTCACTTTCCCTATTGTCAATCGAAAACGAATTAATGAGAACAATAGACTTTTCAAATTTAATTGACGAATTTGAAATGTCGAAAAAAAAAATGTAAGATTTGTAAGAATTTAAGAATAATTATTTTTGATTACCACCTTTCCTGTATTGTATTGTTTGTTCTGTAAGTAAATAAAAAATTTACATTTTTTTAACCTGCAAGGTAAAGTTTTGAGTGACGTTTGAATTTATTTCAGGGACCTAGGGGCCCCTTTTGTGAAAATAGCCCTGGGCCCCAAAAGACCTTAATCCGACCCTGCTTATAGTCCTGTATATGGTAGGTTTATAATAATTGATGTTTTTTGTCGGACAGCAAATTGGTCGCGATATATTTGTCGGTCACTTATATTACCTATCGACTACTTCTCTTACATGCATAATTCTTTTTTGTCCGACAGTTATTCATTAATTTTTTGGCTTCGTGAAACCGATAATTTTCTCGCGTCGGACTGGAAAATCGGAAAATCTACTATGTCGGACACTTGGATATTTATATTCTACATATTATCTTTATTAAGTAATCCTGAAAAAATCAGCTCGTTATCCAAAATTTTTTTAAACTTGTCAATTGGATATGTTTGAGTTGGTAGACACCCTTATCCAACATTTTTGTCGGACATATTTTTTTTCAGGTTTTTCATGAATTTGTCTCGCGATTTCACTAAAAATAAAAACGTTATCTATAAATTTTTTGCACCACGCGAAATGGTCGGCTTTCGGAAAAAATAGAAAAGAAAAGCCCCCACTACGGAAGTTTTCATAAAGGAAAAAGGTGGTAGACTAGGCGCAATTCAGCCACACAAAACTTTCCATGACAGTATTCATAAATGCAACTTTATGTCGCTGGGCACCTACACTACAATCTGATGTCTGTTCAACTCTTTTTGCTGAAACCTCACCATGGAGTTTTCCTGCAATCCTCATAGAAAAGAAAAAACACCCTGGAGAGGACATCCAGTATAGACTTGTCATAGATTATCGGGAATTGAATATACCATAACAAAAACTGACTATTTCCCATTACCCAATTTAAAAGAGACCATCGAAAAATTAGCGGGTTCTCACCTATTTTCTACCATGGATTTGGCATCTGGTTATTTTCAAGTGCCCATGCAACCAGAGGACCAGGAGAAAACAGCATTTTCAACTCCTGATAACCATCATCAATTTTTGAGAATAACAATGGATTTAAAGAACGCACGGCTACTTAGAGCCATATGAAGCACATCCTAGGAACATTGACGTATACCGAGTGTCATATATCTAGACAACATAATTGTATTTTCCGAAGACGTAGACTCGCATCTAGAATGATAGAGGCACATTTTTAAAAAATTACGAGGAAGTAATTTAAAGTTGGAACCAACGAAATGTCACTTTATGGAGAAAGAAATTAAGTATCTAGGGCATCTCATATGTGAAGGTGGACATACAACCCACCCCGATAAAACCAGAATAATAGAAAATTATCCGGCACCCAAGAATGTCAGAGAGATAAGAGCTTTCCTTGGATTCTGTGGATTCTATAGGAAGTTTGTTCCTAATTTTGCAAAGATTAGTCAGCCGTTAACCTATTTAAACAAGAAAAATATTAAATATCGTTGAGGACCAGAACAAGAAAGTCCTTTCGAGACGTTAAAGATACTACTCATAACAACAACTCCTATTTTAAAGTACCCAGAATATGAAGGAAAAGAACACCCTATATGCTATACAAGTAGAACACTAATAGATGATGCCGAACGCCGATATAGCACCATAGAGAGAGAATGTTTAGCTATGGTTTTTGCCGTAAAAGCTTACAGAAACTATTTAACCGGAACTCATTTCGTTATTGTGACAGACCATAGGCCTCTCAAGTATTGTTTCTTATGGAATACAGTTTAACGATTCACTACAGAAAAGAAAATCTAAACAGCAATGTGGATGCATTAACTCGGTTACGTGAAGAAAGTGACGAAAATGAAGAAAGGGAACCAGCCGTGATAGCTGTCGTTACTAGAGGGCAAGAGCTGAGACCTGTAACATCCGCAATTTGGACAAAAGAAGAAATACAGAAATTACAACAGGAAGATGAGTCGATAGACCGAATAGAGGAAAATTTGAATAATGAGAATTTCTCGAATTTTATTGACGACGGTATTATTTATAAACAGAGAGAAGAGTGGGAGCGAACTTACAGAATACTAACTCCTAAGGAAATAATTCCTGAAACTCTGCGAATTTATCACAAGGCTATTTATTCAGGACACCCGGTCAGTAAAAGACAAGAGAAATAATAGAAATGGATTTCTATTGGTCATCTATAAGTAACGAAGTTAAGGATTTCGTGGAGAAATATTTGTGGTAAAATCATGTAACTTACACACGACCAATTATCAACCACCAGGGACTTGGCAACACAACTTTGTACCAAAAAGTCCGTGGGGACGCATAAGTATGGATATAGTAGGACCATCAAACAAAACTAATAATGGAAATCGATACATGTTGACCTGTATGGATTACTTGTCAAGATATCCAGAATGCATTCCAATTTCAGACATCAAGGCGGAAACTGTTGCAAAAGCTTTCGTCAAGAAAATTATATGCCGTTTCGGAGTACCACGAGAAATACTAACCGATTGTGGAACTCAATTTCTCAGTAAGCTTTCCACTGAAATTTGCACTATCATAGGAATTAAGAAGTTAAAGACTACACCATACCAAGTATCAATGGAATATTAATAGAATGTTTTCATAAAACTATAAAAACGATGATAGGTCATTAGGTCGATGACAACCATGATAGTTGGGATGAAGTACTACCCTTTTGTCTTCTAGCGTATAAAAATTTGCCACATGAGGCAACACTAGAGTTTCCATTCTTTTGAATGTTTGGGACAGATATGGAACTTCCAGTACACCTAATGTTACCAAATGGGCCCGTGAAATATGACACCAGAATGCAGAATGCCCACGAGTTAGCTCAGAGGAGCATAGAAGCTTTCATCGATAAGAGATACGATAAGCACAATGCAAAAAGGACCAGGAAAGAATTCCAAGTCGGGGATTTAATTTATGTAAAAGAATCCAGTGACCAATTTTACCAGGGAGGAATTTAGCACCAAAATTCCGTTGTAAATGGTCAGGACCCAGTCGAATTACTGAAAAGTTAGGACCAGTTACTTTTAAAATAAAGGAATTGCACGGGAGGAAAGAGCAGATTTTACATGCTGAAAAACTCAAACCATATAAAAGGTTGGAGGATAGGATTATAAACCCTACTCCAGATCAAGACGGTATTGAATACGATGAAGAGGAGGACAACGAGGTTCTACCTAGAAGAGAAGAGATTATAGAATTTCCACTGATCCATAGGGAAATGATAAGAGACGAGAATGAAGAAATTGTCGATCGAAACGAACTTAATGACGTCAATGATGAAATAAGGGCGCAAGAAGATGAATGTTTAGCATGGGGACAATAATTACCCGTAAGAGTACTTTGTTACAATAGCTTTAGGTTTTCTAAATATTTAGACTTGAAGTAGGAAAAAGATTTCTTTCATCCTCCAATTGGATATGATATAATTTATGTTTTTATATTGATAATGCTGATTTGCTTTACCAACTACTACAGTAAGTAACCTATTTATTTTGGTGTGGAATTTAGGTTTGGTTACTAGGCTCAAATAACTTAATGAAATATTGTAATAAATGATTAAAGTTTTCATTAGTAATTCGAGTATTTTAATTTCTGAAAATGGTTGAGTAAACAATTTTCTTACCTTAAATCATTAGCATAAAGATTTAACCAATAATAGTACAGCTCCCATCTCTTATCTGGAAGCATTGTAAATGGATTTTGAAAGTCAATTTTACGTGGTCTTGTGCGGTGCATTGGATCATTGTAATACTCCATTTTAGTCTATAAATAGAAGGAAAAATTAATTTACATTTCCATTAACAAAAGGAAAAATTATATCAGTACATATAATTTTTCAGGATTATTTCAAGTATGTTTTTTGATGTTACGATTGTAAAATACCCTTCCTGTGTTACCATGAAAAAATAAATATTATGAATTAATCAAAAAAGAAATTTCATTTCCCCGCAATAAACGCTTGCGTTTAGCTTTTGAACTGTCCAAATATATTTACCGTAAGATACTCCAAATCAGTCTCAGTTTCCTGAACCTCTAATTCAATTTTTTCTCGATGCAACAAAAATTCCAATCGCCGTGGCATTGTTTCCAAACGTTCCAGCTCCTCGTAACACCTATCTAGCTTGTCTCTCAAACTTTGCAACTTTATTAGATGACCCTGCCTGTCAAGTTTGGTAACAATGTCGCTAAAAAGTTCGTCTTGACCTTCATTTTCACGATCATTATCTTGATAGAAGTCCTCAGGTCTTTCAGCTGCAGCTTCATTTTCTTCCATAATTGGTTCCTTTAAAAACAAATTAAATGGTTAAATGTTTACTGAAATAAATGAACAAATACTATACCTTTCGGCGATTATTTCTATTCCCAGCAGCACGTTTATTTTTTCCTTCCAAAAGCCACTTGATAATATCGTCAGGATTGGCCTCATCAAACCAAGAACCTTCGAAATTATCAACTACATTCTTAAAGCAAGCAAAATTCAATATAATTTCATTGGCATCAATATCACTCAAAATATTATTAATAGTTTTTGATTGTTCCACATAATCTCTAATGGCGCGTCTTTTTTGACCAACTGCTGCATGTTGCCCTTGTCGACCCGTTGCAGTTCTTTTAACGTTTAAATTGTATTGTTTGAGAGTTTCATTTTTCGACTGCCCTCCTACTCTCAGAATATTTTCAGTGACTGGTAATAATCCTTCAAGAAATTGATCCAAAGCATGATTGGTGAAGCAAATTACCAAAATGGGCGATTGTCGGTACCACGCGGTCGAGTTATGAAGTAGAGTGTGTGCGATTTTTAGGCCTAAAATATATAAATTCAACAGTTATACAAATTTCATATAAGATAATCACCTAAATATGTTTTTCCTGTGCCAGGAGGCCCTTGTATAATACAAAACTCTTCCGTAAGAGCGGCCTTGAAGGCAGTTAGTTGGGAATCATTCAAACTGTAAAACCTTCTATGGGGAAAATTCAACGGATCAATTGTATTCGACTCGATTGTATAGGAAATTGCGCCCTGAGTCCATAAATAATCTGGAGGACGAGAGCTAGCCTGGACATTTATAATGTATCGTTCCATAGGAAAACTGTCGGTTTTCATAAGTTTGAGAACATTCAGTACTTGATAGTATGGTTCGAAATAAACACTGGATTCCACCATGAGGTAATCGGTTTCAAAATTAACCTGCAAGTTGAATTATTTTTTTTAAACCTTGTTTTCACAGCATTTTTTATTCTTTTGAAGCATTATTTGTTCCTTGAAGTAGCATAACATCCTTGAGAGGTCTAATCACCCACAAAATTTTAAATAAGAAATTAATGTATAGCCAAACCACTTGTGGAATACAAGATGTAGTTTCTACCTCACTCACTGTTTCAAGTTGCTAAAAAGTTAGCGTTTATTTTTGGGAAAAATATACTGGTCCTCTATTCTGATATTACAAGCAAGTGGCTGGAGGGGTTGGGCTTATAGTAGAACATAGAACTGAATTTTCATTCTCTTTACCTGTACTTCTCCTTGAAATCCCACAATCAATAGTCCCGCTTCCAATAGCTTTGCATCCCTCTGAACTATCTTGCCGAAAAGCAAACTTTGAAAATTATCATTGGTGAAGCAAACCAACGATCCAAACATAAATTTTTTAGAATTCTCGTAAGTGAAATTTTGCTTTTTCATGCTGAAATCGAACCGCATTTTGTAACAGTTGCATTCGTTTACTGCTTCGACGCTCACAAATCTGATGGGATTGTAAATTTTGATACTGTCTAATTTTTTTTGCTCATTTTTCGGTAAGTTCTGATTTCTGAGATAAGTGCAAATTCCTCTGCGTAGAGGAGCTACAAAATCTTCCCTTAGCAATCTGAACTGAATATCCAAATAATCATTGATGCTTTTATAAGCTTTATCAACAATATTGGCTCGTAGAAATGGACGTTCTTCCGAAATAACTTCTAGCACACTTGGAATAATTGGAATCTGATGAAAATCATCAGGAGGCTCCAAATCGTCATCTGATCGAATATCATTGAGTGTACGTTGCTTCTTGACTTCCAAATCGCTTATAGTCTTCTCAACTAATTCACATAAACTTACTGTTTTTGCCTTGAGACTATCTGAAATATGCATTGAATGTTCACTTTCAATCAAAGGAAAAAAAACTGTCATGGTTTTCAAAAGTCGCTTTATGTGAGTGCCATTAGTTGGGGTCAACTCCTGTACAGTTTTTGATATATCTAGTAGAGCATTCCAAAATTCGTCAGGGTCATTCCAGAGATGTTTGTTGAATTTTTTATCTCGATCAGTCTTGAAAGAAAATAAAATGCAATTAAGCCAGTTCTGAATAATAAATAACATTTTCCTAGGTTTGACGCTACAGCAAGCAAAAGCTGAATATTATGTCAAGGCGAACCGTATAGGTTAGGCCCTGAAATACTATGATCTTTGAGCAATATACCTATAGCTTATTTATGTCACTTGAACAACAAAAATCTTACCTGACTAGCAATACTTGTTATAAAAACTATCAACTTTTCCATAAATCGACTGGTCAGTGCTGCATTCAATAGATTGAGTTTAACTGACTGAAATGTCGAATCGCATACATTGCGGATTAATTTGACTAACAATACAATCAAATCATTGGACAATTCCTTGCTGTCTAGTAGTTTGCTAAAGCCTTTTCTATCATCGGATATTTCAAACATGACTTGTTGTATGTCAGGATTCTCTACTAGACTTAGAACATATTGGAATCCCATGGTTCTTTCACGTCTAGGGCCATTATTGCGATGTTCTGAATTATTATTTTGTTGGTGGGAAAAATTTGGACGATCTGGGCCATCGTTGCCAGTATTTTGATTACTGCGGTGGCCCCGTTGACCTCTTCCCTGGTTACGATCTCGTCCATCTAATAATATTAGCGAGCATTACATTTTTTCGTCAATATATTCTTTGTCTTTCTAAACTAATGAAAAGTTATCTTTCATTAAGGGCCAAATTATGGACTGACCAGTAAACGTCTGGTTGTTACCTAGCAGGTATTTTCTATGCTACTCTAGATAATAGAAAGTACCTGCTAGGTAACAACCAGACACTTACCAGTTGGTTCATAACATGGCCCTAAAGAAACTTACATCCTTGGATATCGTTGGGGCGATTTACATTATGGTTGCCGCCCCTTTGATCTCTTCGCTGTCCACCATCTTGTCCTTCCAATCCGCCTAAAATTAACAGTCAGTATTTAATTTCTTTCATCCCTTTTTTTGTTTTCCCAAACTAATGAGTTTCACCAAAAAACTTTTTGTACATAACAATGAATAACAACAAAGATAAAAAAATATTTACAGATTATCAAGGACATCTAACAGAAAGTATCTCAATAAGTTTAGTAGAAACTGCAAACTTGATTTTTACAATGCTGAAATATGGATAAAAGTGGGTAGAACCGAGGGTAGAACGCGAAAGAAAATATATTAAAAGGTTTCTACATCAAATTAATCACAAAAAATCGAATAATAAAACCTCAATCAACAAAAAAAATCGAAACTTTATCAATTCATTGTGAGAATATTAGAAACCCGTTATGATTTAACCCGTTTTAAGGATTGAATACATTAATATGGATTCCTTATAATATGAAGAATTTCAATTTAAAAAAAAATCTTTGGACATACCTCAACTACAAATAAAAGTAGATAATACCTAATACCGAGATCAAGTTGAAAGCAACTAAAGAGCAAGGTGACAAAACAGCCAAAAAACTGGCTTCATTTAAAAATGAAGTAGACTCACTTAAAAGTTCCATGCATAGAGGAAGAAAATTCAATTCAATTCAATTCAATTCATTTATTTATGCCAAAATACAGTACAAACCTTAATACAAAGCAGAGTAAACATAAAACATTAGAGTACCTATGTTACCCACGTTCGTTACAATCGGTATACCCTATCCTGCTGAGAACACAAAATGTTCTGTTTGCAGGCTTGGCGCGTGAACATGAAAAAATCACAATTCACCTCTACACTTAACAACAAACCTAAATAATACAATATAAATAAAGTACCTATTTGTACCTATATTTTATTATACTTATATAACAATAATTCAAAAAAAAAAAAATAACAAAACAAAAAAATCAAAACATTAACGGGTTTGAAACTCCTTTCGGAAATATGTAATAATTACCAGGGCCGGCATAATATTAGGTTATTTATATAAAAATTTTAATTTCTAAATTTCTTTGACAGATCCAGGACTTTATCTTATTTTTGAGAGCTTTTGTTGAGAAGTTATAATTTTTTAGGTCATCATCTAGTAAGTTATATATTTTTATAGCAATCCATTTTGTGCTTTTTTTGCCTACTTCTAGCTTTGTTTTCATTACTGGAATGCTCTTATTTCTAGTTATTTGTTTTGTATGTAAATATTCAGATTTCAAGTTCTTATAATGATTTGTTGTAATGGCTTTAAGGTAATATATTTGTCTTATTTTTAGTAGATTGTTTTCTTTATAACATTGATCGAGTTGTGCCGATGGCTTTTTAAAAATTAGCCTAACAATTCTATTTTGAATCGATTGGAGAGAGTTTATGACATTACCATATGCGCTTCCCCATGATATTATTCCATATGTTGCTTTTGATTCAAATAGCGCATAATAAATAGATATTAAAGTTTTTGCATTAAGGAAGTTTCTTAAATTTGCAAAAATGAATAACAAATATCTCAAATTTTTTTTAAGTTGTTCAATATGTTCTTTAAAATTCATGTTACAGTCTACAAATATTCCAAGATATTTAATAAATTGTTCTTTGCCTAACTCCCTACCCGTACAAGACCCTATGTTACAGCCATCATGTATCACAATATTTAACTTATCAGGTGCCTTATCTTTATATGTGCTAAATAAAATATATTTAGTTTTTTCGATGTTTAATGATAAACCATTTTCTCTAAGCCAGTTTGCTACATTATTAATAACATTATTCGCTCTATTTTCCAGACCCAGCCAAGTGCCCTCACTCATTGTTATCGCTGTGTCATCAGCATATGACATAAATTGGGCATTGGGATCCAAACTTAATAAGTCATTGACAAAAATAACGAAAAAAAGCGGGCCTAGGATGGTACCCTGAGGGATACCGATCTGCACCACTAATTCCTCACTATATACTTCATCTAATTTCACCACTTGTTTCCTGTTTGTCAAGTAATTCTTCACTAAGTTGAGAGCCATGCCACGAATGCCGAAATTCTCTAGCTTCATAAATAGTTTATTATAGTTAACTGTATCAAAGGCCTTGGCTAGGTCCAGAAATACAGCTACAGTCGGCTTACTGCTATCCAAATTTTCAAAAATACTGTCAGAGAACAATTGAAGAGCATCATTAGTGGCCATGTTTTTTCTAAATCCAAACTGATTTTTGTTTAATAATTTATTCTTTTCTATAAATTTAATGAGTCTAATATGCAAAACTTTTTCAAAGATTTTTGCGAGGTTCGAGATTAGCGAGATTGGTCTATAGTTGGATATAATGTCTTTTTTGTTTGTTTTATGAATTGGAACGATCTCAGCTTTTTTAAAGTGGTCAGGTATTTCACCAGATACAATACTCAAGTTTATTAACTCTGTAAGTGGTGGTGTCAGAAAATTCACCAGCGTTTGTATTACTTTGACTGGGATATTATCGATTCCACCAGCCGCTTTTTTTTTAAGATTATTTATGATGTAGGCTATTTCAAAATTATCCGTGAGAGACAAAAAAATAGAATTGATATTTATGTTATTGTTATTATTTAGACGCCGAGAATTGTTTACCTTAATTTTTTTTGCCATCTCTATACCCACAGTATTAAAATATTTGTTGAACATATCTGCCATCTCCTTCTTATTTGAAATCGTTTTGTTATCAATAACAATATGGTCAATTGGATTTTTTTTCGATTTAGATCTACCTAATCTCTCATTTACATATGTCCAGGTGGTCTTAGAATCTATACAATGGGTTTTTACATAATCCTGTTCAGATTTTATTTTAGCAATTTTGATTAGTTTCTGAAGTAATTTGAAATAAGTTTGGTAACGATTTTTCTTTAAAAGATTGTTTTTGTCCTGAGTCCATTCGCGATATAATCTATTTTTATGTTCGCATGACGTCATAAGTCCCTTGGTAATCCAATTTTTCCTTTTAGTTGTTTTTTTCCTTCCGTTTAACTTTCTTGTAGATAACTTTATAACTTCCTGTACTTGCGTCACTAACTTGTTTGTGCTTTCATTCACATTATCATTTATTATGTTAGTCCAGTTTAAATTTCTAGCTACACTTTTTAGTTTTTTATAGTCTATATAATTAATTATTGTGTTTGTTTCGGATCTTTTGACACCTAACCTAATTAATAAAAAAGTTTGATAATGATCTGTAATCATGTGTTTATAAACAAGCCCTTTTACCTCTTCTTCATTCACATTCTTTACAAAAGCATGATCTATACATGATCCCCCAGACTCATTTGGCCTGGTTACAGTTGTGACAAGAGGAACATATCTTTTTTCATACAGAAAGTTAAAATATTCACTACCATAAAAGTCAGGGTTTTGAATATCAATATTTAAATCACCTATGATGTAATGAATATCGCTGTTTTTAAAAGATTTAAGATAATGTTCAAAATTATTCAGAAAATTGATTTTACTTACTTCTTGCGACCTATAAAGAGATGTTAAAAAAGTCTTTTTTGTACCTACAGTAACTAGAGTCTTTAGGGCCTTAATTTCACCAATGTGGACGATCTCTGTAGTCTCTTGTATGCTTTCCTCTATGTATATCATCACGCCATCTGATTTGTTCAGGTTTCCGTAGTTGTAGTAGTTTTTGTATCCATCTAGCTGGTAGTAAGCTACATTTTCAACTCTCCATACTTCTGTGCATATTATAATGTGGGGCTTCGTTGTTAGCATATTCAGGTTTATCCATAGTTGTTGTAGGTTTCTATGCAAACTTCTAATATTTGTATGATAGATTACAAAGTCGTTGTTTGATATTAAGTTGTTCAATTCGTGCGTGTCATTAATCTCTAGATTTGTTTCAAATTCAAAATCTATTCCGGAGAAAATGGATAGTCGGTTCTGTCAATGATTTTTGACAGAAATGCTTTATATGTTTCGCATATTTTGTGTTCGTCTGCACGATGTTTTTCTTCCCTTTTGTTGGTGTGAAACCTATTTGAAGAACAACAATTTAGACATTTTTTTGTGTCTGTCTTGTTACATTGCTCGGTAGGATGTTCTTCCGAGCAGTTCAGACATTTTGCGGCATTTCTGCACTTTTTAGTGCTGTGGTTAAACATTCCACAGTTACGACATTGTGTTAGGTTGTACTCATCGAATACTTTGCACCTCTGACATCCTATGTACACCTTTTTGTCTCTCATAATTTGTGAATATGTTTGTTTACTAACTTGTAAAATTGCAGTTTTGGTTTGCTTTTTTGTTGTATATACATGATTTATTTTTAGATCGGTTTCGCTTCCTAGATTGTTTCTATTTACAATATCCGCCTTTATTTTATCGTAATCCGTACAATCTGTTTCTATGCCCACTACTTTTATTAAGGGATTCGTTTTTTTCTCTATATTTGTGGTAAACCTATTTTTGGCAATATTGTTCAATAGGTCATGTATGTATTTTACATTTTCGTCTGTGTCACATCGGACAACGATCTTATCATTTGATTTTGTTAGCGTAAGATCCATTGGAATAGTTGTTTTACTTGTTAGGTTGTGTTTGATTTCCTTTAGTAGGTCTTGGCTATGATTTTTATCAAATTTGGATATCGTCATTGTCGGATATATTTTCTGCTCTCTTACGTATTTGTTATTTGTGGTATTGACAACTGTGGCATAGCTTCTTTCTTTGTTCTTGGTGTCTTGCAATATTTCATTTTGTAGTGTGTTTGTGTTTTTCAGCTCTGCATTAAGTTGCTTTAAGGTAAGGTTCTGTTCCTGTAAAACTTTGTTTTGCTCTTCCAGGCCTTTGTTTCTCTCCTTCAAAATTAGTGTTTCTACGTTGGTTTCATGTGCACGTCTTTCTTCCTCCTGATTGGTTTGACTTTGGCGATTTTTGTATTTAGCGGTAATGGTATCAACATTGGCTTTGTATTCCTTACACAAGTTGTTGAGTTTTGCGCACTTATCTCTCAGGTACGCAATTGTTGTTCGTAG